CTGTGGGCGAAGCGGCGGCGATGCAAAAAGTCATCTAATGATTTTCCGCGTTTTAATCTATGCAAGCTTTGCCGTTAGCTCCTATGTGTTGGGGCTGAAGGGGGGGGGGGTGAGGAGGGAGAGGCGGGAGAGGGAGGGTGCGAGTGGTGGCGGTGGTGGTGGTGGTGGTAGTGCTGGAGATGGAGATGGAGGTGGAGGTGGAGGAGGAAGAAGAGAAGGAGGAGGAGGAAGAGAAGGAGGAGGAAGAAGAGAAAGAGGAGGAAGAGGAGGAAGAGGAAGAGGAGGAGGAGGAGGAGGAGGAGGAGGAAGAGAAGGAGGAGGAGGAGGAGGAGAAGAAGGAGAAGAAGAAGAAGAAGAAGAAGAAGAAGAAGAAGAAGGAGAAGAAGAAGAAGAAAAAGAAGAAGAAGAAGGAGGAGGAAGAAAACATTGGAAGTGGAGCTATAGGAGGTGGAGGTGGAAGTGGTGGCCGCAGTAGAAGTAGCGGTGGTCCCTGCAGCGGTAAGAAGGGCACTAATGCAATTGGCGCTGAAGGTGATGGCAGTGATAACAACTGGAGAAAATGACGGCGCTGCAACGGCGTGTAGTGAGGTGGCGCTGGTATTAGATCAGCAGAGGTATCAGTGTTAATTCTAGTGTCTGTACTACTGCTCCTGCTCCTGCTACTGCTTATGCTCTTGCTCCTGCTCTTGCTTCTGTTCTTCCTACTGATTCTGCCCCTCCTTCTGATTCTGCTCCTGCTTCTGTTCCTACTCCTGCTCTTGCTTCTGTTCTTCCTACTGCTTCTGCCCCTGCTCCTGCTCCTGCTCCTGCTTCTCTTCCTACTCCTGCTCTTGCTTCTGCTTCTGCTACTACTTCTGTTCCTACCCCTGCCCTTGCTATTGCCTACTCCTACTGCTTTTGCTCCTACTCTTGCTTCTGCTCCTGCTCCTGCTTCTGATCCCCACCTCTGCTACTGCTTCTGATACTGCCCGTGTTCCTGCTCCTGCTCCTGCTACCGCCACTGGATTCGAGGGGGGGGGGGGGGCGAATAGCAGGCAGCCTCCAGACGACACCTTAAGATAATAGCCTCGAATCCATCAGTGTTGGGTGCGAGTCGAGGGCGAGGGTGGGGTGGACTGTCTGCCTCCTACTCAACGCTGTCCCTCCTACTCACTCCTGTCTTGATACCTCTTACTCACTCTTACTCGTTAATACTCGTCCCTACTCACTCTTTTGTTTTGACTCGCGCCTACTCGCCCCTACTCACTCTGTTTTGACTCGCGCCTACTCCCTCCTCCTTTCCCCTACTCTCCCCTACTCCCTCCTACTCTCTCTTTGTTTTGACTCGCGCCTACTCGTTCCTACTCGCTCCGTTGATCTCCCCCCCCCCCCGCGCCCGATCGTCAAAACAAGGTCCGCAGAAATCGAGAGAGAGATAAGAGACATATAAAACTCTTGTTCCCGTGCTATATATGACGACGGCGAGTGAGGATTTGCCGGGATGTGTGTGTGTGTGTAGGTAGGGTGGGGGAGGGGAGGGGGAGGGGGAAGAGGTGGGGGAATGGGAGGGGGAAGAGGTTGGGGAGGGGAGGGGGAAGAGGAAGGGGAGGGGGAAGAGGTGGGGGAGGGGAGGGGGAAGAGGTGGGGGATTGGGAGGGGGAGGAGGTGGGGGAGGGGAGGGGGAGGAGGTGTGGGATTAGGAGGGGGAGGATGTGGGGGAGGGGGAGGAGGATGAGGTGAGGGTGGGGGTGGCAGGGAGTGGAGTGGAGAGGGTTGTGTGTGTGTGTGTGTGTGTGTGTGATAGAGATAGATATATAGATAGATAGATAGATAGATAGATAGATAGAGAGAGAAAGAGAGAGACAAACAAACAAAAAACAGACAAACAGGCAGAAACAAAGACAGACATACGGAGACAGACAACTCCCAATTATATATCTTTTTTTCAATCTGCCTTCGTAATACACTCACCACCGGCGCCCCACAGAATAATACCAGACACCCCACACTCCCCTGCCAATTGCTATAACTATTCATCAATTTCGTCACGGAGGCTTTACTTTACTCGCGGTAATGAAGTCTTCAGAACCTTTTTTTTTCTCTCTCTCATTTTCTTGTCTTTTTCAAATCCTCATTAGGCGTTAAGTACACCGCTACGTCTCTGTTTACAGCGTGTCAGCTGAAGAACGCGACTGTAACAGATGAACAGTGTAAAACTATTCGTCTCTCTCTCTCTCTCTCTCTCTCTCTCTCTCTCTCTCTCTCTCTCTCTCTCTCTCTCTCTCTCTCTCTCTCTCTTTCTCTCTCTCTCTCTTCTTGTCTGATTCCGGTATACATCTTTAGTGTTTCTCATGTGGAGCTTTAAATTTTTATATGTATTCTTTTTTAGCTTTCATTTTCCCATTCATTAAAACAAAATCGTCTACTTACGGTTCAATAATCCACATTCATTCTCATCAGGGACCTGTTGTCTCAGATACACACATCCAACAACCTACATCATTCTACAACTCACATCAAAACAACTCACATCAAAACAAACACACACACACACACACACACACACACACACACACACACACACACACACACACACACACACACACACACACACACGCATTCAAAAAAAACAAAATGCTCACCTTCCTACCACCTCCAAAAGACCTGCCGATTCCTCCTCAAAACATCTTCAAGAAACTCGAAAACAAGATCCCAGTTTTTGGACAGTCATTCATCTTCCTCCGTAAGACAAATCTTCATTTTATTATCACTAAAATTCCAAGCTCTCGATCCTGTTCTTAACATGAGTCGAATTTGCAATTTCGTAATATAGTGCCCTTTCAATATTGCTTTTTAACTGCCAGGCTGCCTTATTGCGCCTATTTTGTATATACGATTTAAACAACATTCATTTTTTTATTCCTCATTCAAGAAATAAATATAAATATATATATTTTTTTTCTTTTTTTTATAATATAAACTGTGTATCCCATCTCAAGAATATTTCTATTTAAATAACACTGAATTTTATGCAAGGGAAATGCATATCTATACATACATATATAACATGTTTATAAATAACATTAAAATATAAATTCTACATTCCATCTTTTGAATATATTTTTTTATTTTGTCTCTTAGTATAACATTTTCTTACCACTTTTATTTCGCAATATAAAGGACATATAAATACATTTTCAATATATATATATATATATATATATATATATATATATATATATATATATATATATATACGTATGTTATTTATCATAATTCCTTCCATTCAAATTTTATGCCTCACTCAAATACTATTTCTTTTTATTATCTCTCTCTCGAAGCGGATTTCAATCTTGTCCAAAGTCTAAAAGAAAACTCGTTACTCATCCTCTTGTTAAAACTGCCTCACATATATCTTCATTTTGGAAACTAGCTTTTGTTATCTAATCTTGCCCCCTTATCGCACAAGAAAGAAATCACACGAAGGGAAAAAAAACCACAAATTATGCAGATTTGGATACAATTTTTGGTTGAATTCTAGTTCTATATTCCATATGTTGTGTATCCATGTAATCTCCCTCGCTGTCTGTTTCTCCTCTCTCTCTCTCTCTCTCTCTCTCTCTCTCTCTCTCTCTCTCTCTCTCTCTCTCTCTCTCTATATATATATATATATATATATATATATATATGCAAACATATATACATATGCACACACACATATAAATATGTATATACACACAATCCCTTCGTTACGCAGTGTCTATATATCTATGTCCCTCTTGTCTCCTACCACACTCTTTTTATATTTCCAAAATCTTTCTCTCCCCCCCCTAACCCGCCCTGACTCTTCTTAACTCTCCTCCATCTTTCCACCCCCACCCCAAACACCACCCCCACCCCCACCCCCCCCCACCCCCCATCAACCGGTCGGCCAATACGTCTGCCATCTCCCTCCCCGCAGACGAACCATATCGGGTGGGTTTATGGGCGCTGGTTGTAAACGCCGGGACCTATGCAGTACTCTCGGTCCCTCGGCTTGCCTCGGCTTGCCTCGGCTTGACGTGGGTTGACGTGGCTTGGCGAGCGTCAGAACGGGGCCCCCGAGTCTAAATGGCTAGGATTAAGCTAATCCTTTCCTGCCGGCTGTTGTTGTTAATAAGGGCGACCCTGGACTTCGGTTTTCTCTTGTTCATTGGGGTTTTGGAGAGTTCGGGGCAACGGGTTTTTTATAACAGACGGAGGGGAAGACGGAAGATATCTATATATTTCGATATTGTTCATTTGCAAAATATACGTTCGCACGCATACTCTTACACGTGCAAACATACACATCAAACGAATGCACATACACATACACACACACACATACAAACACACACACACACACACACACACACACAAAGCCACACCCACCTATCTTTCTCCCCTAATACCCCCCGCCCCCCGCCCCCAGATACCCATTCGCCCCCCCTCCCCTACCCCCAACTTCCTACCCACAAGATACCCACAAAACAAAAACAAAACCTAGAGCTAACCCCCCCCCCTCCTTAAATTTGACAACCATAAATATACCCCCCCCCCCCCCGAAGGAAAGGAAGAGAAATAGAAGGAGAAGAAGGAACAGATGAAGAAGAAGTAAAAGAAGAAGAAGAAGAGAAAGAAGATGAAAAAGAAGAAGAAGAATGTGTAAAAGAAGAAGACGAAGAAGAAGAAGAAGTAGAAGAAGTGGAAAAGGAAATGGAAGAAGAGGAATCAGAGGAGGAGGATAATTAAGTGGAAGAAGAATAAGGAAACAAAGAAAAGAGAGAAGGAGAAGAAAAGAAGACGAGAAGGAGAGGGAGGAGGAGGAGGAGGAGGAGGAGGAGGAGGAGGAGGAGGAGGAGGAGGAGGAGGAGTAGGAGGAAAAGGACGAGGACGGGGAACACGAGGACGACAACCACAACAACGACAACGAAAAGGAAGAGGAGAGGAGAAAAAAAAACAAAAACCGAAGACATCGACGCCTTGGCCTCCGCACCCACCTGCTCGGGCTTGAGTCCCGGCGGAACCCACGTGTACTCCTCGAGGGCGCAGCCGGAGTCGTCGTCGCTCTGGCTGTGGCGCTGGGGGTCCGTGATGAGCCCGCCCACGCCCCCGAACACGCCGCCCACCGACACGCCCGGCTTCTTGCTCGACGGCTCCTGTGGCTGCTGGAGCTGTGGGGGCGCAGGGGGTTGGTGCTGTGGGGGGTGGGCGTGATGCTGTGGGTTCTGCGGGTTGGGCGCCTCGGAGAGCGACGCTGGGGGGGCCATCTCCCCGCCGCAGTGGTCTTCACGAGGGCATTTGCAGTTGCGACACACTTTTCTGCAATGTGGAGAGGAAGGTGGAATTAGTCAAGGGAAGGAATGGCAGATGTAAGTCATATAATTGAATAAATACTATAGGGGATATGTTGTTCCCATAGTGTATAATATATAGGTCTCGCCATTCTGCAAATCGAGAGGATGCAATATCAATAAACATAATCATTAAAATATCAAGACAAAAAAAAAAAAAAAAAAAAAAAAAAAAAAAAAAAAAAAAATGTTTCCAAAATCTTTCCTTTATAGAAGAAAAGGGACACACTAGAACAACTATAAACATAAGAGCTACAGAAAAAAAGAGACAAATAATGATGATTTAAAACAATAACGATAACAATTTACTCAAGATTCAATTTACTTTCTCGACAAGAAAACAAGAAAATACTAAACATCTCGTATATCTCAATAAACACAAAAACAAAAATGAAAAAAAAATCAACATACAGCAAAAAAATAAAAGAATAAAAAATAAATAAATAAATAAATAAATGAATAAATAACATATAAAAATGGATAATTAAAAACAAATAAAAATGGAATAATAGTGAAAATAAAATTGATAATAAAAGTAAAAACAGGACTCTACCTGTGGATTACTACTGAGCGCTTCGTTGAAATCTCCACTACTCGCGTTGGGCCGAAAGCGTATAAATTTTAGTCACTATATTACGAACGAAATAAAGAGACTGTGCAAAAAAAGTAATAATAAATAATAAATAATAATAATAAATAAATAAACGAAAACAAAAATAAACGAAAAAAAATGGTACACTTATATACTTGCTTGTCTGTTCCATATATTTATCTTTGTACCTGTCTATCTCCTGATTTCTTCATGTCTGTTTGTCTATCAACCTACCTACCTAATCAGTGTGCTTGTGGTTGTCTGCCCGCTTGTCTGTCTATCTACCTAACCATTTACCTATCTATCCGCGTAGACATAAATTTACGGCATTAAAGAGTTAAACAACCCCTCATCAACGCAGCTATTCATGACTCACACTGTCGTAAACACCGAACGATTTCCCCTCTCTCCCCCCTCCCCCCTTTCCTCCTCCCCCACCATCCGCCTTAACCCCACTTCCCCCTCCTTCTTAAAGCTCAACTCCCTATCTCCCTACCTTTGCTTTTCTCTTCCCACCACCCCCCCACCCTTCTGCTCCCTTAAATTACTCTATTTCCCCTCTCTCCCTCCCCCCCCCGCATACTCCCTCCTCATCAAAATACCCTTCTCCCCCTCCCCCTCCCCCTCCCCTCCCCTATCTTGCCTTTCACCTTCACCTTCACCTTCGCAAAACCTTTGATATAAATGCACACATAACAGCTACTCTCTCGCGGCGTTCTTTATGGCTCCGTTCGCCGCGTCGCCGGATTCGAGACGTCAATTCCTTTATTCCTTTATGTTGTTGCGTTTCGATTGATATTTTCCTTCGTCGAATTCTTGGAAGGACAATTTGATGTGGAGTATTGGCCAGGGAGGGGGGTGGAGGGGGGGAGGGAGGGCGTAAGGAGGTGGGAAGGAGGAAGGGAGGGCGAAGGAGTGGAAGGGAGGGAGGGGGGAGGGAGGGAGGGAGGGAGGGAGGGAGGGGGGAGGGAGGAGGGAGGAGGGAGGGAGGAAGGGCGAAGGAAGGGCGAAGGAGGGGGAAGGGAGGGAGGAAGGGCGAAGGAAGGGAGGGAGGGCGAAGGAAGTGGGGAGGGAGGGAGGGGGGAGGGAGGAGGGAGGGAGGGAGTGCGAAGGAGAGGGGAGGGGGGGCGAAGGAGGGGGAAGGGAGGGAAGGAGGGAGGGAAGGAGGAAGGGAGGGAAGGAAGGAGGGAGTAGGGCGAAAGAGGTGGGAGGGATAACGAAAAAAAGAGGACGAAGAAGGGGGTAGGAGAGAGGGCGAGGGAAGGATGAAGGAAGGACGAGGGAGGAGGTCAAAAAAAAAAAGCTATCAGAGAAATCAAAAGAATGGGAAGAAGAGCATACAAAAAAAAAACACTTCACATTTTTTAACCTCTTTTTTTTCTCCTCCTGTTTCCCCTCCCCCCTCCCCCCCTCTCCCTTTTCTTTTTTACCATTCCCCTAATCTTAAGAAGTCACAGGCCAAGCAGCTGTCGGGGCATAATTCAGATAAACGCCAGTCCACCTTTACCATCCAAACTACCTTGAAGCAACAACTACTCCCCGAAGGCCTGTTGGGGGGGGGGGGGATAAACAAACCACAAAATGCCACTAGAAAGGAAAGGAAAAAAAAAGGAAAGGTCAAGGAATTAGAGAGAGAGAGAGAGAGAGAGAGAGAGAGAGAGAGAGAGAGAGAGAGAGAGAGAGAGTCAGAGAGAGAGAGAGAGAGAGAGAGAGAGAGAGAGAGAGAGAGAGAGAGAGAGGGAGAGAGAGAGAGGGAGAGAGAGAGAGAGAGAGAGAGAGAGAGAGAGAGAGAGAGAGAGAGAGAGAGAGAGAGAGAGAGAGAGAGAGAGAGAGTCAGAGAGAGAGAGAGAGAGAGAGAGTCAGAGAGAGAGAGAGAGAGAGAGAGAGAGAGAGAGAGAGAGAGAGAGAGAGAGAGAGAGAGAGAGAGAGAGAGAGAGAGAGAGAGAGAGAGAAGGGACAGAATCATACAGAAGAAAAAATCACAAATAAGGAGAAACAAAGATGAAACAACAGAAGAGAAAACGAAAAAAATAACAGAAAGAAAAGAAAAAAAAATCCAAAAACAGAAACAAAAAATTACAAAAAATAAAACAAAAAAAAAGTGAAATCAACGAACAAAAACACGAAAAAAAATCACAGAAAAACACCGAAAAAAACAACAACACATCTACCAAACGGAGACTCAGCCGCTGTACCGAGTTCGAGAGAAAGTGAGGCTTGTGGTCGGGCATCCGGTATAACGTGCCATCGCCTCGCGTCTTTCACTCACTCGGCCGAGATTACGTTCAACAGTGGTCGACTTGGTACAGGATGCGGGTACAGGCCTTTTATAACGTAAGAAGAAATTCCTTGTTGGGTTTCAGTACTTTTTTTTTATTCAAAGTCTAAAAGCTGATGGTTAATTGGTTTATGTATTAAAAAAAAAGGCTAAGGTGATGATTTTTTTTTAAATCAAGAGACTCAATGGAAAGAACATTTAGAGAAATAATAAAAAAATAAAATAAAATAAATAAATTTCCATATAGAAAAAAAAATGAATATTTTTTTTTTTTTGAAAATCAATTTACATCTTCAACAAAGAACCGGAACCCCCCCCCCCCCACACACACACACTAACCCTTATACCAACCCCCTAACCCACCCCACCCCAACCCACCCCCAAACAAGGGTATGATAATCTATTCAAAAAAAAAAAAAAAAAAAAAGAAAAAAAAAACGAAAAAAAAAAACTTCCAGGCTTAACAGACTTCCTCCTCCCAAGGGCCCTCAGGCTAGAACCTCCTCCTCCACGGCAGCTGGCAGTGACGAGAAGGCATAATTGCCGTCTTCAATTATTCCTTCGCGACGGGAAATATACAGCATCATTTTGGGGGGAAACGAGAGAGAGAGCCTCGGGTGGGGCGAGCGGCAGCGCCCGGGCGAGTTTTCTTGGTGATTTTTGGGCTGAGAAAGTGTGGAGTGAGGGGGGGAGGGGGAGGGGAAGAGGGAGGGGGTGGAGGGGTAGGAAGGTGGGGTAAAGGAGAGAGAAAGAGAGAGAAAGAGAAGAGAAAGAGAGAGAGAGAGAGAGAGAGAGAGAGAGAGAGAGAGAGAGAGAGAGAGAGAGAGAGAGAAGAGAGAGAGAGAGAGAGAGAGAGAGAATACACCAGAGAAAAAGTGAGAATAGAAAAGAGAGAAAGAGAAACAGAGACAAAAAAAAAAACGAAAAAAAACACAAAAAAAAACATGCAAATCCCAACAACCCCCCAAGTTTGAAGACAAGAAAAATAATCAACAAAAGAATAAATAAAAGAAAAAGAACAACCCTCATTCTCCCAGCTGTCAAATAAATCAAGACCCGAGACAGTAACACCAGTAATCACCTGTCCGAATGTTTGCCAAACGCTTACTTGCTCGAAATCACTCGTTCGGACGCGCCGGGCGACAGGCAATCGAACCCAATCGAACAAAGTCGTACATCAAAAGCTCTTCCAACACAAACAAACAGATTCGGATACGGCAGCCAACTCGCATGTCTTCGGATAATGTGAATCAGCATAATGGCCAAAACCTGACGGGAGATATATTCACGGTTCTCTTGTCATGATCCGAGGCGTTCTTTAATTATAATAATGGGATTAAATGAGAAACCTAAACCTCCGCTATCTCTCTCGAACAAAGGCTCTACGAAAAAAAAAATATATATATATAAATTGAATTATATTCCTTCCAAGTATATACAACACTACGATTATTGGCCTGTCTGGCTAAACAATCCTACAACAATCTTACACCTATAACTACTACTGCCCCCCCCCCCCCCGCTGCTACTCCTACATTCTACTATAACTACTCCCCCCCCCCACGCTCTTACTCCTACACCCTACTATCTATCTACCTCTACAACTACACCCTCTCCCCCCACCACCACCACCAACTCTACACCCCCAAAACTACTCTCTCCCCCCCCCCCCTCCTCTCCACCAACCCTACACCTCCCCCCCCCCCCCCCGAAAGCCTACGACAAGCGCCTCCATTAACACCGACCCGGAGATGTATCATTAAGGACCAACTCACAAGCGTCACGAGACAGAGAGAGAGAGAGAGAGAGAGAGAGAGAGAGAGAGAGAGAGAGAGAGAGAGAGAGAGAGAGAGAGAGAGTCCGAAACTAGGAGTAATTGGCCCAATAATAAGTACTGTGATTTTGTCATCTGCGACCCAAATCGTCCGAAACGCACGACGAGCTTCTGGGAAATGAAAAAAAAAAAAAAAATCGAGTAATTTTCTCCCAATACGTGGCCTGGTTTGAAAATTTGTTGGGGATTAATGTTTAAAAGAAATTCAAAATGGATTGGATCTTGGAAACGTCAAAGCAAAGCAGGTTACCTTTCCCCAAATTC